CGAAGGACAGCTGCTAGACGCTATACAATTCTTTCGCCGTGCACTGGCCTTCTCGGAACAAAATGAAGCAGATCCGGATGCTTGGATTCCCACACGGATAAACCTTGCCCACGCACTTCGAAAATGTGATCAGTTTAACGAAGCACTTGCGACATTTGACGAGGTTCTTCGCCACGGCAACAAGGACCCTAGCGTCTTCACCGCGAAAGCACTAGTGCTCCTGAACCTTCATCGAAATTGGGATGCCATCGTTACCTTACACGAAGCCCTCGCCGTCTCACCCCAGGACCCTATGGCTACCGATCTCCTCAATCGCGCGCTGGAGATGAACGAGTCAGAAAGTGGGCTCCTCGAATCTGGACGGGCTGATATGGCCGAGGGTGCGGACGAAGACGAAGAGATTGAAGAGTTAGAACGAAGAATGAATGGCAAGCTGCGTGAGATTGAACAGAATCGCAGTGCGGGCAGGCGAGGTCGTAGGAGACGGCATGCACAAGGCGTAGCAGACGAAGACCTTAGCGCTTTTGGGGAGAGTATGGTGGTCGACTCGGATGAAGGCTAGTACTTGCTGGCTTCTTTTTGGATATACAAGCAACAGCCATGGATTTGGATATCCCTCATAGGCAAAAAGGCAAGGTACTGCGAAACTATAGGATCACGGTCAGGCGTCACATGGGCTTTGGATCATGGCATAGCGTGGAGTGAGCGGAGTCTGTAAACATCTTTTTCTGCATAACCGATACCATATCACAAGCGTTTGTTCTTCAAATGCACTTCATTCTTGCAATTCTGCAATGACTCCTTGTGCCTATTTGCGCTAATGTCTTGACCCTTTTCTCGCAAAAGCCCCCCCACTCGTGCTCGTGATGAAACCATCGTGCTTACATCGACTACGAAGAGGTTGGACGCACCCCTGGAGTTATTCTTGTATATGGAATCTAATCCGAATTACGAAGTGACTAGATCTGGTAACTCCATTTCCTGAGTCATCAAAGTCACCGTTGACTGTTTCGGTGGATATAGCTGGGTTTCTACTTGACATCACCTTGTCGGTAATCTTCTCGTCCTGATCAGGCTGTCGACGTTTGGCGTCAGGTGGGAGAGACTTCCAGCGGGTCGCTTGCGTATGACTACTGTCTACTGATTGTCGCGAAGGTCAGAAATGGTACCGAATCTGGCTACGGTCAGCGGATCAACAAATGTAGATCAAAGGAATCTAGCTATTGACTCACATCCTTGAATGATAACAAGCATAGCTCAACTCGGTCCTTCAGAGGGTGATTTTCTCTCCGTACGGAAATACCAGGACAAATCTTGCGATAAAGTCAGTCCATTAACAGAGGTAAAGGTAGCGCTGCTTGATTCGCACCTTTGGCGTATCCCCATCTTTGTATTACTGTCTCAATCCCTTTCCTTGTAGTTTTCCTTGCGATTTCCCTGCTCTTTCCCCTCTCCAGTAGAGTATCATAATCGGTGTGCATATGACGTACATGCGCAATGACAGCAAGCAAGACTTTCCGCGATAACGGTAGTGAACTTGTTCGACCGACTCTCCCAGAATGCTTCTTGAAGCCGTGCCTAAGTACCGTTTCCTTGGCCGCTGCAGGTATCTTTGGAAACTGAACGTCTACTTCGGCAGCTGCTTTGGCGATATCAGTAGCATCGCGTTGCGCTGTTGTAGCGCGGCGAGTAGACAGCGTTTGTTTTGCTTGAGTGTGAACCTTGTGCAGGACACTCAGAGGGACACGAATCCCGATCGTCTTGTTCTTATCTACAACAATGTATAATTTCCGGCCCTTTTCATGAGTAAGCTTGCGGCAGTGGAGCGTCTTGTACCGGTCGCCCTTTGGAAGATAGCCGTATTCCTTTGGCATCGGTGTTTTTGGTGTCACCTCGATCTCTTGACGCATGGCTACATAGAGCGGGTTCAACACTTGTGTAACTTGCTGGCGCCTGGGTCGTCAAATAATGCAAGTCTGATTCTACTGCCTACTCTTTGTCGTCTAGCGCGCTCAAGCGAGATAAGTGCAAACAAAGGGGGCTCTGAAGCATTGTTGATGAGGAAGCGCGTCGAGACGCGTCGACTCGTGGATCGACAAAGGATCTGCGTCATCGACATCAGGCGCTAGTCCAGAACAAGCGCACACATGTGACAGCGCGCCCAAGTGTCTAGTAAACGTCCAACGACATTCTCACGTCCGAGACCTTATAATCCCATCTATCTTAGTCCCGTCGTGCGGAGGTATTCCTCTGTTTCACTTCCCGCGCGTCAACACGTAATTGAAGATGATGATCGCTACTCCCCCGCGGTCCGGATCAATCGGCACCCAAGTGCTAAGTTTGGCACTCAGGAGCGTTGGTTCCACCTGCGGTCGCCAATGCGCGGCACAGCTGAAGCTTACCCGACTCCACAGCAGCCACGAACAGGCACTATGACGACGCTTCAGTGGCACCTATAAAACCTCCAGCCACACTTATGGACCCCTACTTTTCGCAGTCTCGACCTCCATCCTTGCTTTTGGATTGTCCTAAGCCGTTCTGGTCATGCAAATCAAACCCTTGAAGAGATCGGATACGACACTCAGCGACGATACTGAGCTTGCGAACATCACATACAACGACAAGTATGTTGTCGTGTATGACTTTGGGAGCGTCGGTATGTTCTGTGTGATCACACCCATGAGGCGGCTGGCTGACAACCGCTAGATGCCGATGTCGCCATTGCGGAGTGCAAGACGTTGTTGCATGATCTAGAGGCTGCAGGCCTCAATACTGAGGTACGCCCGGGCTATGACCAAACATTGCTGGTATTTGTGCAAGCGCCTAGAGACCTGCTTGGCAACACCGTTTACAAGTCCCGGTACGTGGAGCTGTCCATGGACTATTTGCCCCAGCACAAAGCTTACTGGTAATCTTTACAGAGTCAAAGACTGGCTGTATGCTATCACCAAGAATCATCCTGGCGGTACTGCAAAGACTGTAGTCAGCGCAGCTTTCGAAGCCGAGGACCTGCTGTCAATGTATCACCTCGTCAACTGGCGCAAGGAGCTTGGAGGAGCAGGTATCACTCCAGGATTTCCTCCATGGGAAAATGTGACTTCCATCTTCCCATTACACAACCAAGGTGCGAACCGCGCATTGCTGGCGCATTTGAGCACACGTGTGTTCTTGGAACCAGCAGACCTAGATCGTATCCGTGATCTGTGGGGCGCCAAAGTTGCCTTCTACTTCGCCTTCATTCAGACTTACTTCCGTTCTTTGGCATTTCCGTGTGCTGCTGGCATATTTGCTTGGGCATTCCTACCAAAATACTCTCTCCTCTTTGCACTACTCATTGGTGTCTGGTGCACAGTGTTCTTGGAGTATTGGAAGATTAAGCAAACCGACCTTGCTATTCGATGGAACACACGAGGAGTAGGTGATCTCAAGGTGAACCGCCCACAATTCCGTTACGAGCAAGAGATTATCGATTCAGCCGGGAGGATACGACATGTATTTCCCAGGTGGAAGAGGATTGTGCGGCAGCTCGTCGTCGTACCATTCGTCCTCATTAGTGCTTTGTTCCTTGGAGTTCTTATCGCTTTTGTCTTCACTATTGAGACATTCATCGGCGAGGCATACGAAGGTCCCTACAAATTCTATTTGGTAAGTACACTGCCGAACGTTGCTGAATAAACCTAATTGCGATCTAGGAATACTTGCCTACTGTTCTTCTCGCCGTCTTCTTACCATATGCGACAAACTTCCTGGAAGACATTGCTACTGCATTGACAGAATACGAGAACCATCGAACAGCTGATCATTACGAAATGTCGCTGACACAGAAGATTTTTGTGCTCAACTCGATCACAAATTACCTGCCAATACTTCTCACGGCATTCGTCTACGTACCTTTCAGCGGAAAAGTTGTACCGTTATTGCAGAACGTTATCGATGCGACACTAGGCGCGCAAAACAGGTCGAAGACAGTATTCAAAGCTGATCCTGACCGGCTGCGCAATGAAGTCATAGCACTCACCGTTACTGGACAGGTGTCAGGCGCAATAGAGGAACTTGCGCTGCCCTGGTTGAAGACGCAATTAAAGCAATGGTGGCGCGACCGACAAGCTAAAAGAGCGCATAATCGGAGCAGCGACTCATACGTAGGACCAATGGAAGAAGATCCTGCGGAGTCTCGTTTTCTGCGCCGCACAAGGAGGCAAGCGTTAAGGCCACCATACAATGTACAGGAAGACATTGCAGAGATGGTCATCCAGTTCGGTTACCTCGCACTCTTTAGCCCCGTGTGGCCTCTGGTACCAATTGGCTTTTTTATCAACAACTGGATCGAGTTACGGTCCGACTTTCTGAAGATCTGCGTTGAACATCAGCGTCCTCATGCGACACGTAGCGACGGCATCGGACCATGGGTAGCTAGTCTAGAGTCGTTGACATGGCTGGGCAGTATTAGCAGTGCTGCTATCGTTCACATGTTCGGTACCCAGCGATTCCTTGGCGAGTATCTTGGCTTGAGTACATGGGCTAGTCTACCGGTCACCATCCTTATTTCAGAGCATATCTTTATGGGTTTTAGAGCTGCTGTACGATTCGCGTTATCCAGGATCGGCTCTGAGCAAACACGGAAGGAGAGAGCTGAACGGTATGCGAGGAGAAAGAAGCACCTGGATGAGCTTGAGGCAACCGCAGAGAAGAAGTCACATCTTGATGTAACTGAGCGGGAGAGGCGAAAGAGTGTTCGCATCAACGCAGCCGACATCTTCTGGACCAAGCAGGCGGACACGGGTGCAAGCGCGGACGCCGGCGTTAGTATCATCAAGGCGTTGAAGACCGCGCAGCAGGAGAGCATCCTCACTGGGCGAGAAAACAAGATGGACTGAAGTGCAGCGTCAGGATAGGTAGACAAAGAGCTTTTTCATTCTCTCCGTGTATGTACAAATTCCCCAACCACCAACCAAAAAGATATATACAGAATTTCACACCATCGATGGCGCGCGACAGGCTTACTTCAGAGCAGCAAGAACAGTGTTGTAAGCAGTCTTGGCGTTGTAGTTGGAGTCGAACAGAAGCGGGTTGCCCTGAGGCCTCCAGGAGTCGGAGTCGCGGACACCCCAGACGGTGATACCAACACAGTTGCTCTGGTTCAAGCAAGCCTTGACAACGTTGGTCCAGTCGGATTGCTGGGCGTTCTGGATGTCGACCTCGGTGAGCGCACACTCGGGAGCTGCTCCGCAAAGCGCGGCCATGGCAGCTGGGGCGTTGGCACCCTGGCCAGATTGCAAGTGACCTTGGGAACCGATACCATCGATAGGGATGCCGGCAGCGATCCACTTCTTGACGTTCCTGACCATGGCCTGGGTCTTCGCGTAGGAAGCTTGGTCCAGGCTGAGCATTTGTTAGTATAATAACATTCCGCATAAGAAGTTGTGCTTACTTGTAGTCGTTAATGTAACGCTTCGCAGACGGGTCCGCAGCCTTGGCAGCCTCGAATGCAATACGAACAAAGTCCTCACCAAGGACGTTGTAGAAGACGCTGGCACGGAAGTTGCCGTTCTCCTCGAACTGATGGATAGTCAGTACCTGTGCTGCGTGTATCCTCCCCGCGAGTATGTACGTACCATCTCGTTGATGACATCCCAGGCGTAGACCTGACCCTTGTAGCGGCCCATCAAAGAGCTGATGTGGTTCTGCATGACAGTGGTCAAGGTGGCCTTGTCCCTGATGGACGAAACCCAGCTGGGCAGCTGCGAGTGCCACACGGTGGTGTGACCGCGGAGGAGCTTGCCGTTGTCCTTTGCGAACTTGGCGGTCTGGTCGGCAGTGCCGAAGTTGAACGAACCACGCGAGGGCTCAGTGGCATCCCACTTCATGCTACCCAACAGTCAGCTCTGCATACTTTTTGCTTCGAGGCTTCACGAGACTCACGAGTTCTCGGGTGTGATTTGACCGAAGTTCGCCTTGATGATGGCACCGTTCTTTCCACTGTTGAAGCGGCCTGGGTCGGAGCAGGTACCGAAGTACTTCCTGCCCTTTGCCTTCATCGCAGCATCGATGCTCTGAGCAGCCTGGCGCTCATCGAGGAAGGCTTCGGGCTCAGCGAAAGGCGCAGCCGAAACCAGCGCGGTGGCGGACAAGATGGTGATGAGAGAAAGCTTCATGGTGAATTCGAGTTATCGAGACTGTTACTTGACTTGGAGACTGTAGAGAACGTTGGTGGCCGGATACCTCAATATTTTGTCAAGCCTCAGCCTACTTATACCAAATTCCCAATTCCCTCGGCCCTATCCAGATATTACAGACAAGATTAGCGATGTCTCCACCCTCCCTCTCATTACGAACAATATCCATATACCATACCGACCTCGGTTCCTCCTGCGCATCCACCGCCACCAGTATGGGGAAGAGTGCATTAGCTCCAGGACAATTACCCACACGCAGCAAGCTGCGGAAGATTAATCTAATGCGCCACGGTGTATGCAGGTGGTCGATCAGCCTTTACCCAAAGCGCACCCTTTGCCTCCCCAATGCAGTATAAACGACGAAACAAAGCTGTTTCACATTAATCTAAATGAAGCTTCCGGCGCCGGTTCTTGTCATCCTTAGCACCGTCCTAATGTTCTTTACAGCCAGCTTGGCACCTTTAATCGCGGTTAAATGCAATGTGCCACAACAACCGATCCCTGCATACACGCTAGGGAGTTGCGTCACGGGAACGTGGTTCTAATCCTTTGGGATCTGATATGAGTCTTGGGGCGTATTGCCGGTGCCAAAAGGTGTTCACTGAGGATTTGGGTGCCTCTATTCGTGGAGAATACAGATTGATGAACGTGGGGCGGTAAGCGATTACGCGCCGTTAGGGGCACTTCATCCGCAGTGGAGTCAGATATGGGGAGCATATCCGGGGAAGGACTAGATTGGGTTGTGCCTTCTATCCGGGGAAGAAAGGCTCTCAAGGGCTTGGTGTTGCGCTGACCTGGTACGTTCGTCGTCGTTCATCACATGCAATCACATTCATAACAGTCTCGAGTAGCATACCATGTCAGTCATTTGCATGCTTTTGTTGTGAGGTGTGGTCTAAGGGTGGCAAGATATTTGTTCTTACACGTGTAATGAGCCTCGGTCATTTGAGGAAAAAAGCATCTTCATATTACACTACATCACGGCCAACAGCTCAAAGATGAATAGCTTCTCCGAGCTATAACTTCGAGAAAGATATGGGTCGGCTGATTAGGAGGCAAATAATACTCCCGGAAGTGTTCGTCCCATGTTGTTCCTATTCTCCCTGTCCCTTTATCACCTTGCATACAACCGTTGACGCTTCCTCGACATTCGAATTCTTTTTTTTCTTTTCACAGAGCGACAGCCCTGTATGTCGTGGGAAATCATGTTTCTGCAAGATTCAATTCTACGGGGGCGCACCATGTAGAAATTGCAATCCGAAATATGGTTGCTGAACAATTCACGTTCTCCACGTAAGGATGTGTCTGCTCATCCGATCTCATCGGTCTAAGCAGAGGCACTCTTTACCGCCAAGTGGAACCTCTCATAGCGACGGAAAATCTAAACTGGGCGTTGGGTCTACAATCCCAGGATAATTAGATGGCCTTTGCACCCACTCGCTTCTCTCGCATAGACCGATTGACCGATCTGTGACTAAAAGGTTTTGAGAAAGCGGGTGATGATCGTTGTATGCATAGCTCGTGGGCACCTTATTCTACTCGTGTCCGTTTTTGAGCTCGAATTCTCGATGAAATCCAATAGGCGCAACGCCATCGAGTAGCTGTGGATGTGGGTCATTTCGAAGGTCACTTAACTCTCGGGGACATCTCGGAATCCGTGGGCGACTCGAAATGGATGTACGCGTGATCTACGGTGGATTCGAAGAGAACGCGAAACATATACACCATGATTCCGAATTTTTAGAGTGAAGATGGCTGTCCAGGGTATCGTGAAAACCTACTTGGAGCTTGACTCGGCGTAGGTGAGTGAAAGAGCTACACTGACCAGTTGGTACTTGTTCTGGTTCAAGATAGCGATCATGCTACCCACTCATTATTTTCGATTTTCCTGTAGATTTGTTCTCGGATATCGTAAGATAGGTTGAATGATAGCCTCGGTCTGCACGGCAACGATTTTGCGCTGGACATTCTTGATGGAAGGTTCTGGTCGTCGAAGGTAGATGTTAGTGAACCTGTGATATTCTTAGGTTAGATATTTGTTGTCTTATGACGATCTAGAATGTAGTACATCAGTATCAGTACGAAGGGGGATGGCGGATGTATTGTCGCAACGGTGCAATACAACTAAGCCTAATGTAGCATTTCACAATCAACTTCGTAGTGAGTCCAAGATAGAGATCATCAGTCTGTGCACAATCACCAAAATTCTTCTTTACTCCTTGGCGGTGCCAGGACAACAGCAAGACAAGGTTTTTGAAAGATTTCGAATTCGTTATTCATTCATGATACACCTATCCAAACAGAAACCAGTAGATAGTCTAGTCACTCCCATTATTAACCTATCTGCTGACTATTAGCCTTGTCCTCATTGCGATAATGTTGTACGTACACACATTCATTTGTCACTCGAGATCTAAATCCAAACGCCTAACCACGGCTGCAAGTGCATCCTTTCCTCTTGGCAGGATCCACGCTTGGCCACCCCACACAGATAGCGCCTCCTGAGCATACCTGGCCGCTAACACCACAGTTATCTTTGGCGCAGGGTCCAGAGTAGCCCTGGGGAAGAGGATCGGGCATAGCGACAGCAACGCTAGCGAGGAAGGTAGCCATGATGATAGAGAAGCGCATGTTGGCGATGTGAAGTTGAAGAGGAAATCGAATGAAGAAGTAGTTGCGATGTCGTTGGTGGCGCTAGTGTCGTCGTGAAGTTGGGCAGCTTTATAGGAGAGAGGACGGCAGAATGTGGAAAAACTCGGTGTCCGTAGTACAGTAATCGCGCAGGTGTCGTATGCTGCTCCTGAATGGGCAATCGGAGGGCGTTCGATTAGAGGTGCGGTTGAATTGTGAAGTAAGACTTTGATGTGTTGTAAGCTGAGTTCGGGATGGGGCGTTTACCCTCCCTTCTTATACACTCATGTCAAACCTCAAGTGACGTGTTTAGTCTTTTGACACAATACTCAAAACATATTCACAAGACCAGAAACAGGAAATGTGGGTATTCGATCGCTGGTCGATAAGACCCTAGTAGGAAAGGTCCAAGAATGAAAAGAGATACAGGCGGGGATTGCCCTCCGCGACTCCGCTTGGGATGACGCACATCGCGTCGCTGGAGCGTGGAGTCGTATCATGGGTCACCGGAAACAGGCGTTTTGTTTGGCTGCTTCGACAGGGCAGCCCTAGATTTTGACAGTGCGGCTCTAATCCGGGACGATCTAAGGCCTTGAAGTCAATTGTCTTTGCGTGCCACGGACTTGGCTCCTTGGCTGGCAGTGGGCGGTAAGCCGATAACGTGTAGATCGTAGGCAGTGCTTGAGTAATCTGGCTATGAATATATCCACTGCGGTATTTTTCGTAACAGCCTTACGCGTTTGTCTCACGCAAAGAATGGCGATGCTCTTGGTGGGGTTCAAGGTACTGTTGATGATCTTTCCTATGGTGTTGAAGCCAGACTCGTGTGTAGATTGCCGAGAGGATCCCGGAGTCACGCAGATCCCAAGAAAGCCAAGATTATGCCTTAATTGCGATGCAACACTCAAATGTTCTTGTAATACGTAGGTGGATTTAGGGGGTGCATGTTGAGAGTTGGTGAATAGATGAAACTCGGTTGTGTATACAGAATGTACATGCGAATGTACATGCTGAGAGGCCTGGCACATCTTGGAGCATCGTCATAGCCGGCTCAGCATATGTGGGGTAGATGGCAGTGCATGCTTGGGGAGAGTAAGAATAGATGAAGAGAGGCCGACTGAATAACGAGAAGCAAGACACTGACTAGGGGGAGATGAGTGCATCCTCATGATGCTCGGTTTCGCAGGTGTAGAGTGACAGAGAGATGGTTGGTTGTCGACAATAGAGCATGTGCTTTACGCGTCGGGTAACGCGTGCCTGCCTTATCTCCGAGCTCCAGGCATCACTCGACCCCATCTTCCCCACCATCAGCCAACACCATCACGAACACCTACATGTCCACTCCAGAAGTGCAAGTACAGTATGACGAACAACAACGACAATAATCGACGCGATCACACCCGACCCGAAGACAACCCCTTCATCGCCTTCCGCCGCTTCGCCGATTCCCAGGTCTCGTCGCTCCTCAACACCGTCTTCACGCTTCCCGCCACCATCGCGAACTACAACAACGCGCATCACGCACGCGAGCAATGTCTTTTTGGCAAGGCCGACGAACGGCAGTGTGCCAAGCTTCGCGACATTGAAGCTGACATTGCCGAGCTGCGAAATGAAGGCCGAGAGTTGTTCAGGGTTGGCGATGTCCAGGCTGTGTTGCGCAATAGTGAAACCCTCATGAAGCTCGATCGCAAAGCTGATGACATAAGAAGAGAGATACTTGGCGATGCAACAAAGAGCGAGGAGCTGCAGATCACGCGACAGAATGATGCTGGCCTCGTTGAAAGGGTGGCCAACGAGAAGGGTCAGGAGTGGGGATGGTCGTGGGACTGGGGCTTTCCTCGACCTTTCGACAACGAAAACAGGGGCTCATGGGCAGCCTCTGAAGAAGATGGGGCCAGGGAGTGGATGCAATTAGAAACATTGCTGCGGATGCAGGCAGAAGCGAGAAGATTGGCCGAGGAGTTCAAGGACAAGGCTTGGGATGATCCTGTGACGGACGCCGCAAAGTTCGACAACTACAACGAATCTCGCCCAGAAGACGGAAAGCCCCACGTGTGGACATGGTCCAAATCCTGGCAATGGCCGCCGCCAGCAGATGCATCGCAGATCGATGACGCTGCCTATTCTCCGCGCGCACTCGAGCAGGACCGCGAGATGGACAAGGCCGGCGTGCCTTGGCAAGCGGCCTACGAAGATCTCCTACGAGCCGAACAGGCCGAATCTCCACACTGTATGAGGGGCAGCGAACGGAGAGCCTGGGGAAGGAGGAGGACACCACTGTTACAGGAGCGCAGTGAGACGCTCCAGGACAAATCAGAGACCAGTCATCCTAGCGGTGTGGATGACGA